GATAAAAGTACCTGTTCTGTACTCCACTAAAGTTCACCCGGATTGTGGCTTTAAGCTTAGGCGAGCCCGATCTGATCAAATACTTTCGGAAACTTACGGGTGGTATCACAGCATGGAAGCACAGCTGGAATGGTTTTAACTATAAGCTGCACTATAATCGAGACCAAACAGGGAAGAAAATGTGGACGGCCAAAAATAAGCTTTTAGTAAAGAAGAATAATAGTTTAGCTTTTTTCTTGTCATGGAATGCAAATGGAAAAAAAAATCACTTCAAATAATGTCGCACTAATATTCCACTGGCCATCGATAAACTGAACAACCGGACTGATCTGCTGCGGAACGATGTCACTGGGTCCGGAGGCAGCGTGCACCACGACATTCAGCGATTTCACATGTACACATATCGTTTTTGCGACTTTCTTGCCCAGTGAATTGAAAACAATCAATGTGCTACAACACAGCAACCAATACTTCTACATTTCCTCAGAACAAAGGAATTATTTCAGAGAGATCCCTCTGTGAAAAAAAAACCCAGAGAAGCCGAATGCGGCGACCAAGATCGCAGCAAAGAAAAGAAGGCCAAAAGGCACGAGAAAAGATTACCCCTACATTCATTTAAATACAGTCATACTAAGCAGAATTGTCGGAAATCTGACAATTATTTTACGTTTTTTCCACGTCAGGTTGATTTCAGACCGCTGCAGGAGCAATTTTACTCAACTAATATTTTTTATCAAATTCAGCATTTTCTGAACTGTTCTAAATCTCAGCTTGAAAAGACAACGCATGCAAAAAGTCCATTGCGAAACAGAGCCTGACAAAGACAGGCGTGTGACTCTCAACAAAAAAAAACTACTTTTTCCAAAAAAATTGAGATTTTCCAAGTTCCCGAACCACATTTTTTTCTTTCTCTGTAAAATAAAAAAGCGGGCATGCATGTCTTGTACGAACTTATAAATACCTTGCATAAAAAAGTCTTCTACGAACCTAGCACTCGTTACAACTCGTTTTTCAGGAGAAGAATCGTAGGCACTTCGGATTTCTTCCTGAATCATGTAAATTTTCAGTAAATTTTACAAAAGCAAACAACGTCATCTTACAAAAAATTTAAAACCTCTGAAATTTTTGATACTTTTCATTTGTGTCGAGACAAATGTTTTTCATAGAAAAAATGAAAATCAGAGACAATTTTGCAGATCAATGGACAACTGACTTCCTTCTGACCATCAAAATTGCCCACAATAACTCTCAAGCTGATTGAGGTTTTCGACAAGAAACATGGAAAGGGACAGGAAAGAAACAAGCAGTAACGCATCAAAGATGACGTTTGCGAGACATTTGCTGTAGCTGGAAGCTGTTAGGCGGCTAATTCAGGCTCACTTACTTTTCGATAAATCTGTATAACCCCTCTAACCTCTGCTACAGCTGTATGACTCTGACGACAGCCATTGCTTAGGCTGTTAGCTGATGTTAAAAATAGCTGGATAAAAAACCGAAGTGAGCAAGTTTGAGTAAATATTCGCACTAATCCGAGTAAAAAATGAACAAATGGGACCAGCTTCACTGACCATGAAAATGGACGGCTTGGGTGGCACATCTTTTGCACTCACATTTCGCAGCAAAAAATCTGTAGCTGCAAGTATGATTTGTTCACAATTCTTTATTGCCATAAACATCCTGCAACAATGTTTGTAAATAAACATTTATTGGCGTTTTTCTTTTCTAGAAAAACCGAGAAAAGGCAGATGAATGTGAAATGAAAAGTACAGAGAAATCAGTCGCATAACTCATCAGCGCCTCGGAATTCTGTTCCTCATGTGACACTCAGCAGTCCATTTTAGCTGCATAAAAAATTCAGTCCAGCTAAGCTTTTTTGCCTACTGTTTGCCTCCTTATAACTATCATACTATCTCATAACATAATGAATTTCTGCCGCTGCTGACGCAGTTTCCATCGAAGTTAAGGAAGCAAACCAACGATCAAACACTCCAACGCAGTTCAATTTCAAAATTAGTGAAAAAGCAAAATGAGGCGAAGGAAAATGCAACCAAAGTGGAAAATCCTCCTTCTTGAGGGGTAGACCCGAAGACAAACAAATAAAATTGGGGAATTCATCAGTGTAACAAGGATAAATGATTAAAAAATTTATACGGCCGTTCCTGGCCTGCTACAAGATACATTCTGTCGCAACTCGATTGTGTTTAGCCCAAACTTGTCGAAACATGCAGAATTCAGCCCTGCTTGAGTGTTTTAAATAACAAATCAGTACGGGGAAACCAATTCGTGGATAGTACTTACCCCAAACAAATTACCCTACATTCTGAAACAATAAAAACTGATATATTTTGAAAGCAAACTTCTGGCCATAATCAACCATAACATGTTGCTTAGATGTCCCAGTG